GCTGGCCACGCCGTCCACCAGTCCGCGTGCTACAGACGGACAAGTCGACTGACGGTTCGGGATACGCTACTCGATATCACTTTGGCCCTGATGACTGGTGGTGCCTTAACGGGCAGCTGGAAAATTGAAATGCACCGCCACAACGAGTTGGCCAAAGTCACAATAAGCCGCAACACCACCAAACCATTTCCAAGCTAATCTATTTGCTTCTGACCATCGGCAGCGCCTTCGCTCTGCTGGCGGGTGCCACCGTCGGGCGGCTGTTGACCAACATCGCCAACGGGATAACGAGGGCCATATCGCACACCGTTGCTTCCTGTATGTCCACACACCCTCGTGAGTTTATAAGAGCAATTTAATAGTTGATACGCCCACTTTACGTTTATTTCGGTGACTATATGGTTATAACTGGTAACCAATATGATGGTTTAAAAGTTTAACTGTAGTTAGTTCTAAGTTTATTCGGTTGCAACTTGGTTATTACATGATACACTAAAAAATTAATGACCAATCACAATGCGATTTAATCAACACGACGCGACACACGACGTAGCTGTGAATGCGCCTTTTGCTTGATTTAAAAGTTCTAACCATGGTATATATACGAGTAAACGTCCATATTAATATTTTTTGAGTAAATCACCATCGAACATTTCATATTTATAATGCCGTTCGCTTTGTATATTTAAAATTTACACGAATATTATATTATCTGAAAAATACCATGTAATAATTTAATGTCAGGCTAATAACCTAAGTAAATTGTTGAAGCCTTTTCTCTTAAATAAAAAAAGATATATATATATTATCTGCAGTAACAAAATATAAAATAGTAAATTTTACATCAAAAAATGTCTGACATCATAAAATGTATTTGCCCAGATATAATGTGACCTTGCAAATTGTATGTAGGTGTACTTAAATATATTATTATAAAATATATACCTACCTATATGCTCATAATATAAGTATAATATATTGTAGGTCAACGACGACCTGATGCCGAAACTGTGACTCGATAGTGTTGTTTGGCTTTTTAAAATGTTGAACTTGACCGATATTCACAAACCCGATGCGACATCGTCGAAATGGTATGCATAAACAAAAATTATGCAAGTGCCCAAGTGGCATGTGACAAATCCGTTTATCGTAAGTACATAATATTTTTACCTTGGAATTCGGTCGACGGTCGTTCGCTGTTTAAACACAAATTTGAATTATTAATTAAGTGTTTAGCAAATAGTTTAGGTTTTGGTTAAGCCCACCCGTTAAGTAATGGGCAACCATATCAACCATATTTGCTAAAAAATTGCTAACATTATGCTAACATATTGCAAAAACGCGTTTTCACTCTTATAATAATTGTATAATATAATATAATTTTTATGATTTATTATCAAATCGAAAAGAAAATTCTGAAACTGCAGTAAACTTTCTGTTGGACATAATATTATTTCATTTTATTATATAGTTTAGATGGATACCGGAATGTATAATAAAATATCATGGGTGGTGTTATATATTTACGTAACTACCCGCAATAATAAACTGGGGTCAAATGTTACTTGAAAAATAATTCCGCAGAGTGCAATATCATAATAATACATACCAAAACTCTACCTAAGTGATATAAACTACGTACTTGGACTAGAATTAAGCCGTTACGATCGGTTAAGCTCGTTTGATCGCATTCACTCGACGCAGACTTAACCTATATATACACGCGTATTCGGTCACAAGCTATATATATATTGTTTATTTATCCATATATATATATATATTATTAAGGTGCATTGACGTTTCAGGATTTTCACTTCCACACGGATTGTTCTCACCGGAACTCGGCCACGGAACCGATCACATCAAAGACCACCTGACGCCTTACGCTGCCGAAGGTCAAACCGAAACGGGGTCCGACGCGATTCATCAAGTGCAGCAACCCGCGGCTGCCGAGGAAACCGTCCGAACCCGCGACGGTCGATGACACCAGAAACGAAGTGAAGAAAATAGTATAACGAGACGAATATATTATATAATATAATATTATATATGATCACGAGTTCACGACGACCACGATTTCTTATTTTTTTATAGGTACATTTTATTATTAGTATTATAGTTTTGTTCTCCGCGATTGCAGTTTAATTTATTTTATACATTATTATTTATGTATTAGTGTCCGTTGAACCCTATATCTAACTCTACATGGAACATATAACAATAAATGATTGATCATTATATTTGTTGTACGAAGTTTTCCTATAGTTATCCTTTTAACCACTATACGACGACGCAAAAGTTGTTCATTCGATCAACCGATTCACATTACGCCAACAAAATGTCTATCGTTATTCGTTAATATAAAATAGCCTATAGGTACTACCTCCTCATACCTACGTAATATGCCTGAATTATAACTTATATAATATATTGGGTTGAATATCTTTATAAATAATATATTTTATTATGTTAGATATATCTATGACTCGTACTGATCAGAAATTTTGTGTCTGCTATGACGTGTAACTGTGTAAGAACATATAAAACGAACCTGTTTTATTTGAAATAGAAATTAAATCGTACTCTATACTTACATAGGTAAGTACGTTATTTAGTCGTGTACTCTTGTGGAATAACTGAGTTTCAGGGGTTTATTTTGATTTATTTATTATATATTAGATATAAAGTTGTTATAACAACTATTTTGCAGAAAACCTGTCCGCAAAACCACTAGGACACAACGTCATTGTAAAACTATATGGTACCACTTGGCGGCACTCTTGCAAATTCTTCTGTATATCCTTAAACATCCAAATAAAATAAATTTTATGTAAATAAGTAATAACGTATAGGTTAATATACCTTGAGCCTCGAGGTACCTATTACCTATATGTTTTATTTAATACAATTTGTTTACTTCTTATGATATTTCAAGGTTCAACAATTCCCCAACGTCTTTACGAAATTTCCCCTGCTGTGATTTTTCTTTCACTTGCCACATCAACAGACGATACCTTTTAAATGCCTTCACTGTTTTTTTGTTATTTATCATCATAATTGAGTAAACAACTTTTAATATTCGAGCTAGTAGTAATTGTATATTCGTATACTTATTACCTAATACAATAATCTATTATGTTTTGTCAGTTAAAATTAAGTTTCGGGCAAAAGAATATGTTTACATGTATATCCACACATAGGTATTTAAAAATATTATATCTACTCATATATATTTATACTTTTCAATTTTAATTAATATATTATGAAGGAAATTAAAATTCAGATCATACCTATAGCGAAAGATATTATTATTGTAATTATATATGTAAATCGTTAACGGTTTAAAAATTAATAGAGAATAAATTATATACATCGTACAAACTAATTTGAATCCCAAAACAAACTTTATCTTATATTCTATGATACATAACTACATAAGTAGGTACCTATATAACTCCTTTCCCCAAGCAAAAATGTAGTCTCCCACCTATATCTGTAGTGAAACAAAATAAAATTCTATATTCTGTATTATAGGTAGCCAGGTAGGTACCTAGAGATTCAAATAATTATCACATCAACGATAGCTTAAATTTTAGTTTTTAATTAATTGCACCTTTAAACGACTATAGTCTTATACGTAATAACAAGTGACCTAGATTTTATTTTTGAATTTAAATAACATAGCATAATATAGATATAGAAGCGCGTAGGACATGTACTATTATAATTTATAAATAATAATGCACCTACCTATAATTAATATAACGGAAGAGCTGATAAAAATTTTATTTCACTATCCATAGGTATTGTAGTTGTAGTTCTTGTGTAGTATTTCTTTGTATTTACTGAATTATAGCCATCGTATTACAAATTATAAAATATATGAACTTTGATCTACTAAACAATTTTGTTTCAAAAATTATTGTTTTGATTATAATTAATTGACAAACTATTTTTCTTGTTGGATATTACGATAAAATTGTTATTGTTATTAAATTAATTAATTAAATTTTTTCATGAATGAGTATCTCTGGCTTCGGCTTATTTGTTTCTAAAATAAAAAAATAAAAATAATACTCACTTGGATATTATTGAACTACAGTGAAGCTTAAAATACTTGTAAACTTAACTGGTTATCGTCAAAAAGTAGAAAAATAATTAATCTAAAATAAGAGTCCAGTTTAAAATACTCTTAAATTTCTCATAATTTACATAGTAATATTAATTAATACTAATTATTATGATATTATCATGGGCATACTAAGTGTGTATACAATACAGATGCCTGCATGGGTACCTGCTAAAAATACTAATTTTATTTTTTTGCGCTAAGTCCTTTACACATAAAGTATAAAGTGTAACTATAATTGAATTAACTTTTATAGAGTGTGACTAATAACGACTTATTAGCTAATTACTATAAGGCTCTACGTATTATAATATAATATAAAGTCGCTAATTTATTATTTCATCATATGCATATACATATTATGATAGTTTTAGGTAATAATTTCGTCGTCTTAATAAATACAAATTACTTCAATAATATTATTGTGCGAATTAAAATAATAATGTAATGTTTCATTGAAATCATCTCATATTGCAATCACAGGCACGGCAATGGTGATAACTATACCTATATATTGTATACTGATGTCGCTCGATGATGTGTCATGTGCCTTCATATTTACGTATAATTGTATAAACGTGCAATAATTGGTGAACCTAGGTACAATAAAGGTACATTATACATAGTAATATATCGTCTTAACTCTTAAGACTTAAAATTAACGTTCTGTAACTCCGAAACGCACATGGGCGTTGAGTATGCATGTATAAAAATCCATTATAATACGGCTGTATTATGATATAATAATTAGTTCTAACGAGACAACGAGGTCATGTTGTTTGCCAACAAAAACCGATTCGTTTAAAGATACACACACACACACACACACACACGCACGCACACACAAGTGCACCTATAGGTAACAACGACGATACATACATAATATTACTATGCGTACCTACGTTATATATAATATTATTATCGTTTCGTGGGGGTCACGTCGTGTAAAGTGTGCGTACACGGCCATTACGCAAGAGAATCGCATCATACACAGGTGTCTGTAATATTATGTCTATACTTTACGTGTAGCTTAGGTAGGTACTAGGTAGGTATACCTATATTATGTCGTGTGCACGATAATCGTATTCGGTAAGAAACTGGTTTCAATTTACTACGCCATCGCTGTGCAGGAGTGCACGAGGAGCGAAAATCGTATCAGATCACTGCGCAGTCCAGTCCGTCCGTCTGCAAGTACCCGAGCTGCTGCTAAAAAAACACAAAGGACGATAAAAAAATAATCATGAAGTGTTTAATATTTGTGGTAGCTGTGGCGGCTTTGGCTACGGTTTCGGCCGACAGGATCAAACGCGCCCCGGTAAGTATTTAGATTTCACTCGAGATTATAATATTTTGTCAACAATCGATTTGCACACCATATTATTATTATAAATCCATTTGGTATGACGTAGTAGCAATTGCATTACATTATATTTTACATGTCTTTGTTTTTCAACGAAAAATATAGAATATAGGTAAAATTAAAATGTTTGTCCTGTTTTATATAATTAGTGTAAAATATCGTTGATGTTATTTTTTAGTTGAAAGTTTCGGTTTACTATGAATCTCATTGTCCGGACAGCAGAGATTTCATCATGGCACAACTCCATCCACACTTCTGTAAAGTACAGCAATACTTGAACTTAAACTTGGTGCCTTTCGGTAAAGCATATGTAAGTACATATTTATATAATACACACTATCAATGTCTTCTCGCTTTTTATTTAACTACCACTCAGATTAACCATTAATTATAATTTAAAAACAAAGATATTATACTCATATAAGATATAAATTAAGGTTGATATTGACACGAATTCAAAAATTACGAAAGGGTATATAATTACTATAAGAGAAACGAATTTGTCATTTATACTATTTGCATATTATCATGGGTGTCCCCTACGGCACCACCCATACTACAGAAGCTTACACAAATATTGCACACAAATACATCATTTCAAACCCTGTAATTATTTATACAAATAATCAAATACACTATAACAATAACAATAATAAAACATCAATGTGTTTTCCTTAATAATGAAATAATCAATTTTATCTTTAAGATAGGGTTAGATATTACGTTACTTCAATATCTAATTAATATTTTATATAACACTTTTTAATTAGGTACCTCTACGGCTCTACCAATAGAAATAATACTTAAGTCAACAGAGTTATTTATGTATGTACTGTACATTAGTACCTACTACCTATAAATATTATGGGAAAAACACGTTTGGGCGTAATATTTGATATTTATCTACACGAAAGCATGATTGGGCGCATATCATTTTGAGCCTATTAACGGTTACCCATAGTACACCATTAAGAGGTTGCTTAAATAGTATTCCAAAAATATTATGTTTGTATTTTTATGATAGAAATAAAAATAATACGCATTTTAGTATACTATTATCATTTGTACTATTGTGAGTAGTTTGCTGCAAAATGTTGTCATATTATTTGTATATAATTTAATGTATTTTTTTTCGATTTGATAATTTTTCCAAAACATATTCGTACTTAGTTTTCTTCAGTAGATATTTTTTCTTAATTTATTATTTTTCTTGCAATGCTGATTATTTTTGTACTGTTATGGTTTTGTGCCCAAACGTGGACTTCGGAATACGCCTTAACGTGCTTACAATTTTTAGGTAAATTTTTGATAAAATGCCCTATAGTGTTATGCCCAAATTCATTCCTAATATACACAAAACAAGCTTAAACCATAATATTTTATGATTGATCTACCTTAAGTAATATATTTCTATATTTAATTTTAAGCAATGAACACAATTATAGCCATCAGGTTAAATTAACTAGGTAACTCAATGAGATGATAATAAGTAATAATTATAATCAACCATTTATTGCAAATTAAATGCATTGTTAGAAAAACTTCAAAAGTTCAAACCATATGTACGTGTATTTAGAACACGATAATTTTTAGTAGGTGGGTCGAAGCGTATTAATATAAAACAAATTTAATTCGATGACTAGGTACCTGTCAAGCTTAACAATGAACAATACAATTAATAGTGCTTAATAACAAACATTGTCTCAAATAGTAATTACCTACTGGAATTATTCAACAAGTAATTATGCTTATTATAGTACAAATTACAATAAGTAGGTACATGTTAAATACTGCATTACACTCGTATACAGCTAATAGCTATAATGTAGATACATTCTCTGAGAAATATTTAAATAGTGAAGAATATATATATTTAAAGATTAAGGTACCTACCAGGTGCACTGTTTAGTGTTTACATGATGATGACACAATATTTGTAAATGCAAATTTTTTGAAGCTTTATACATAGATTGGTTTATTATAGAATCTACAGATATATACTTTATTAGTTTCATTTAAAATTCAACGTTTCAAACCCGAGTCTACAGTGTCCATCTTCAAAGTGATTCCGTACAACTGTTTTATTCATAAATGTTGTATTGATACAAGGTATCTATCGTTAAACATAGATGTTTGCCTTCCGATGCATTCCGCAAGACAAGCTTTACTATAATAAAGGTACTTGGTTCTGGGTCGAAATGTATAGCCGACTTCCGGCGAGGGGATTCAGCGGGATTTATAATCTAATTTGTAAGAATAATATGTAGGATGTACTATATAGGTATAATAGATTTAAATATATTATAAACATAGGCGTGACTACGGTGGGAGCCGGCTTCCCCAGCGAATACTTGCTTCCCGCATAAATTCAATATAATATGAATATTACTGTAGTTATAAAACATTAAATTTAATCTAATAAGAATACCATCAAAATTAGTATATACAATTTGAGTTGCGCAATAATTATAAAATATATGGTCTATCGTTATTTCAATTACTTAAATGTATCAATAATCATAAAGAGTTGGTCTCAATCGACTTTCTAATCAATTAATTTTTGATTTTGGGTCTCGAAAAATATTTTCTTAAATACTCATAATGAACTAACTATCAAAGTATGTACATTGCCCAAAAACTCAAAAATATGCATTTAAAACCTCAAATTTTCAAAATATCCAAATAATTATATGCATTGAAAGTTTTCAACAAAGATGTAAATCGCACTTATACTTACTTGGCATAGGATACCTAAATATATCAATAAGTCCTTACTCCAGTTGACTAGCACTGACTACTCATCACTATAATAAATTGCATTTAATGCTGAAGTTTTGAAATAACAATTGTAACAGTCGTTGACCATTATTGCTTATATATATTTACTAGATCCACTTAGGTACCTATACCAATTTTTTAATGGCCTCGCCATACTCTTACTTCTTTATATGTATCTATAAGTTATTAGTTTATTATATTCCACATTAATTACATCTTATTTATGATCAAATTTCAACGTATTTCAAATATATTTATTTCACTAGGTAGTACATTTTTTCTAAATTAGTTTAAATTGCAGGGGGGGGGCAGTGAACACTAAATCTCCCTTAATCACGCCCCTGCTTATACAATACATAATTATAGCCATATGGATATAATATAATAAGTTCAATGTTCATTGTTCATATCACACGGAGTCAAACTTGAGAATTATAAAACTAAACAAGCCGATTAATTATATTCTTATGTTGTTTTTTTTATTTTAGAGTTCGGATCATGGTTTCACTTGCCAGCACGGACCTAAAGAATGCCGTGGTAACACAATACATAACTGTGTGCTGAAACGCATAGAAGATTCTAAAGCTCAAGTAGACTATGTGAATTGTGCCATGTACGATCCGGACCAACCAGGACACATTGAGAAAACGGTACTATTTAACATTTATACGGATACAATTTGAGTACATACAGTAATATAGAAAGTCTATTTAATAGTATACCTATGCTTAGTACCTATTATAGTAACGGGTAAGCATGATGATAACTGCAGGTAAAATATAATAACTTTTTACAACCGGCACAGAGAGCTGTACAATGTATCTGATAAAATGTACTTAATTATTGACACAACTGCAGAGTTTATTGTATTATAAAAAAGGGTATACACTATACAGTATCAAGTATATACACCATAGCTACTGCTATGTCCGTTATGTTTACACATTTCCATCAGGTAGACATAATGACCTGGGAGAGTTTACTAGTTTTAAAAATCGGAAGAGTGTAGTACCCACCATACAATCGAGTTATCGAGAGTTTAACACAGCCCAAAAAAATTATACTTTTAAGTCTTAACACAATTTATCAGAAAATAAATCATATTTAAATATAACGCGTTACGTACAATCACTATACATATTGTATGTTTTTTCCTTGCAGTTTGAAAAATACAATCAATTATTAATTTTAAATTTGTTTCAGTGTGTCGAAGGAAGCGGTTTGAACGTTGACCAAGTGAAAAAATGTTTTACTTCGTCAGAAGGCTACGAAATGATGCTCAAGGCTGAAAAGGAAACCAAAGCCATGACACCAGGACCACTGTTTGTGCCTACAATTGTGTTTGACGATGTACGCGTGTATAGTATACCTATTATTACGTACATATGTGTTTCAGAAACAATATAATAATATAACACGATATTGATTTTTTTTTAAATTTCTTACGTTTTGTTGTCTCTCCAGGAATACAATGATGATGATCAAAATCAAGCGTTCGTGAACTTCGAGTCGACGCTTTGCGAGAAACTAGTCAGCCATGGACATACAGACGTATGCTCTAACGGTGTAATCATAAACACTCAAACATGTTGAACGGTTTATGTACCATACTTGATAATAATGATTTTATCGTTAATACTTTTGCTATTATTAATTATATTATCATTATCATTATATAGATTAAGATGAACTTTGTATATAAATAATATATTATGTATGGATTTTGAAATTAATTGTTAACCTAAAATATTAATTTATCATCACATATACAAATACGAACATCCATAGACACGCAGTTTTTTTTGATTATATCAATACGACAATATCTTCCGTGTGTTTTTTTAAATATAATTCTATATTCCATACTCACCTAAAGTCCTAAAGACATGCATGGATATACAGTCTAAAACCATTATTCTAATTATAAAATGAATAAATATTCATCAATATTGTATGTATGTAAGAGTGCAGTATAATACCAGTGTTTCTCAACATGTTTTCAGCGGACCTGGGTCATAGTCAGGGCCTTTGGGGATCCGCGGTCGTGTTTGATTGGACAACTAAGCCGCAGGCATTCGTTCATTACTCCGATTTTTTTTCATTTTCACGATTAAACAAAATTGAAACGTACCCATGTATTCATGCATATAAAGGGGGGACTCTACCATAGCACATATGTGAAAATTGTGTGTATACCCAGTGGCTGGGCAAATCCAAGTTTTAGCTAGGAATCCGTGACTTAATGCTAATTGGGAACCATTAGTTTATACTTTATACTATATAATTATACAGTGTACCTATACACATTATCCACCACAAAGTGGTTTTTTCATTAAATTTTAATTGATTGTTAGGTAGTCTCTGGACTCTAAGAGTCTGTTGTAATAAAATTATAAAACTTTGAGATTAAATGTTCTATCGTCCTCCATTAAACACTCCTAAGAATGCCACTGCACATATGATACAGTGTTATATGTATTATGATATCATGACGGTGATTCATATAACTGTGCAGTTGACCGAAAATATTTAATTGTGTAATGTATTTTGCATACCTAGTTATTATATCGTGAATATCAACAAAATGCTTGACCAAAAACTATGGTATGAATTCTTAATGAAAAATACAAATTTAACTTAATTTTTCAAAATCATTCCTACAAGAAAGTCTGGTAACGTACCGCATATTTTAAAATAATACAAAAACTCATTTCAGTCATATTCAAAAAATTATTTTGGACTGAGCTTAGTTAAAATTGTGATTGCTTCTCATTACTGTAATATTTATTTATTTACTATTAAAAATTGAAAACTAAGGGCAGATAGCCTATCGACCAATAGTTACCGATAGTTACCAATTACAATAACATTATAATTTATAACCTAACAAATTATGTAAATTAAATCAACATCAAAAATTGATAACATTCATAACTGCAGCTTACAATAGGTACTATATAATAATAAAAGTTTAAATAAGGTATAAAAATTAAAGTAAATATAATTTATTAACATATACATAAAAAGGTAATAAACTAAAATAAGTAATAACTAATAATAATTAATAAGTATGCCTAACCTTGTAAGTACACCAAATTACTACCAATATCGGGCTAAATATACTGCAGGTACCTATGAGATGCTAAATAAAGGGGTATGAATAGCATTTCTCGCGAGTTATATTCCTGAACCTTTCCAATATCAATTTCAGGAGAATGTTTTTCTGGAAAAACTATTTCAAATTTAATACTATAATGGCTTTATTACTATTAACTTTAATATTTGATAAGTTAACAGGTAACCAGATAAGTTACCAACATTTTTTGATTTTTCTGATCTCAGAACAAGCCAACAAGCCAGTATTATAATTTGTATTATTATTTCAAATTTTAAACCAATAATGAATTGGGTATAAGTATACCTATTGAATTGCGTTAAGCCTTTGTGGAGCTCTCCAGGTCATCGAATATGTACTAAACGAAAAATCAAGATTGTAGGTAATATATTATGTACAGGAATATGATGAACATTGAACAAAATAAACCTTTAGAACGATAATTAATGCCTAATATTTTGTATAGTTTTATACCAAATATCCAGTTATTTGAACAGCTGAATATTGATATAAAGCAGCTTCAGAAAGATAAAAAAAACTGATATAGTTTACCCACTTGTGTACACAGCAATTAAAGTAATAACTACACTTTTTTATCTCTAATATTTACAGTTATTATTTTTTATACATAAACGAATAATTCAAATTTGAACTATTATTCATATTAATCATACTTCGTTTATCCGTGCTACCTATTTGTGTTGATATTTCAATTTAAAAATAAACGGATGGAATTCGTTAGTGAGGACAAACATGTACACTATATTACTAAAATATGATCAATATTAAATCATGCAAACTTAATGGATTAAATGCATCGTTTATACTTAAAAACTAAATAATTATTAATTTATATAAAAATATTATGTTACTTTATACAGTTAAACCTCGTATCATCTATAATAATTTATATAACTGAATTTGAAATCACTAAAGCGTTAAATAAATCTCCAAGGAACAAGTAATATACAAGTAGCTATATATGTAGGTACCTATAATACTGACTATACATATACAAAATTATGAAATTTCAAATTGAAATATAATTAATCAACATCAGATTCAATTTTTATTTCTACCTAGGTTATCCATACCTATTGGCTATTAGTAGTCAGAAATTAATTTACACACTTTTCGTTTATTTTGCTTTTTATTTTATTGACTTGATAAGATTATGTTCGATTATTTGAAGTATGTACTATGTACTGTTGTTGCTTAATGCGTAATACGTCTCTACACCTAGTGGGTCTAAATTTAATATTTTAATAATAAATAAATGTCTTAAAGCCACTGATGATTTACGCCTATATTTTAGTATAACTAATGCTATTTACTTATAAGTAAATTAAATTTTATTATGTAGGTATTATATTATAATGTAATAATTTAACTTAGATATGTAAAAATAATAATATATTTATTTATAAATTATTGATCATGAACCAATCCTACCTAATCCAACACAGTGTATAACAATTATTTATAATCCAGCAGTTATATTTTATATGGGTATGTAGCTACAGAATTAATATATTATTGGTCGAAGGGGCATATTAATATGGGAGTTTTAAATTTAAATTTATATATAATATAGCAAAAACTAAACGGTGGGCAAGTAGGCAGTAGTAGCCAGACTAGCCAGTAGGAATTAGGAAGAGTGTAGAATTTCTAAATATTAACCATTGTTTCCTGCAGTTCCACAAACGGCAAATAACAACATTTTAGGCTATGAACTTTCTTATCTCTAAAAAGTAAAATAAATAAAAAAATGTCTTAAAATATATACCCAAACATAGTATTTTTAACAAATATGATGTTTCCACATAAACGTTATAGTCATTTTTTGTGTCTGAAAAAAAGGTTTTCTCAACGTGTGTACTCAATCGTTCACCCAGTGTCGTTAGCAAGATTTCTCAATGGAATGGAAGTTGGGGGGGGGGGATTGAAAACTAATTATAATTTTATTTTTATTTTTATTTTGCCCAGTATAATAATTTCAGACGTTTAGGTGAGATACCTATTTAAAAATTTTTATACAACTTCAACTTCTCAACTCTGCTAGAAAAAAAAATAATCAGATTTTAAACATCGATGGAGGTTTTTGGAAGAAAACTGGATCTAGTCGGTATTTTGAAGGTCAAAATTGAAAATGCTCAGTATTTTTTTTTTGAATTATTGGGAAAACAAAAAAATGTGTTAAAATTGTTTGATAACCTTAGTTTAGATCGTCTTCACAAGAATTGTATTTGATTAATTTTAGTTGTTTTTCTATGAATATAATACAAGGTTCCTCGTAAGTTTTTATTATAGCTATTTATAAATATTAACAATACACAGGGAAAGGGATGATTATTTTTATAAGCATTTAAAGTTCAAATTTTAACAAAACCACAATTAATCTGTAATTAAAAATGTATAAAATATAAAATTTGTTAATCTAAGGCTTGAAAAAAAAATACAAGGTCTATCATACAAGTAGTTCATATTCTTATAGCAAAAAATAATACTTATCATTTTAGGAGAATTGGTGTGCAAATACGATGTTTTTGCAAAAATGAATTCAACCTACCTAGGTACCTATTATTAGTTATTGGCTACAGCTAATCTGGTAAAATGTATATCAATGTACGTCTTTGCTTAGTGCTTACTAGTTGATAAAAGTTTAAATTTGATAAATATTTAAAAAAAAAAAAAAATAATACGTCTATGTGGAACTTTAGTCCAATTATCTCCCATCTACCCTGCATCTGCCACTGCGTTCTCCCAATGCACTGATAAAAATATCGTTATGTATACCCAAACGTGTTGGAGCCAATATTTTTAATCCAGGAATGAATAATAACTGAAGGCAACAAGTACGACTGTTATTTCTTACAAATTTTTATCGGAGGTATTAATTACCAGTTGGACAAATCAACCGGTATAATGTTTTTAAAAATTGGAAAATGGTTGAAAACCTAAAAGGTTTACTTATTTTCTATATATATATAATCAATAATTGTAACTAAAAACTATGTGGAAATTTAAAATTACTGCTATCTTAGAAAGATAACTATAAATATAATCCTACCTAATAATAATGATCATAAATCGAGTAAAACGGTATTGAGAATTGACATTATGAAACTAGTCCAATGTAATTACACTGCAAAATGCACGTGCCACCGTTAACCATATAATAGGCAGGTAGCGTTTAAGACTTAACGCATATCCGGAGAGTACAGCGGATGGAAAAAGCTTTGGCAAATCCTATGACTATTAAACGACAAAAGAGTTGGGCTGTACGCGAATGTACCCAATACATTTTATTGTAAGACATTGATACTTATATGTCCTAATTCGAAGTACTTAAGGATGTCAAATAGACTTACAAACATATAACTGCGGATGTTAGGGCGTCATTCCGCCAAGTCGATTCCATACAGACAAGACTGTGAGTTTATCAATATACTTGGATAATACCTTGTATTATATTACCGTTCACTATAATTAAATACAATACATCTATAACACCATGGATAATCACGAGAACAATTTTACATGGACAATAATTGACGTCAAGGACAACAAAAATTACTTTTATAAGTACAGTGACTATTGTATATTATTATACATATAGCATATCAGATACATGTATTGTATAATATTGTCGCAATAATCTATAAGTACCTACGTTTAAGCTGCGGTCCCTAATTCATTAAGTATCTTAT